GGGTTGATGCCGGGAATGCGGCACCCCAGGTGGAGATAGATATAGGAACTCCATTTTCATATTCACCCGGGCTTTCCCCCTCGTCCCGTCCTGTTACACAGCACACATCCGCAGCCCGACGCGACGCGATCGCACCGCACGCTTCCACACATATGCTACAGCGGCAGCAGCAGCTGTGACCAAAGCTCCGCGTCATACCACGCAGTTTCCGGATGATGAAAGTAATTATGCTTACAAAGTTTTCTCTGCGCGAGAAGGGCCTCACGCCAGTACTGTGAGTGCACCCCCAAAAGGGCGCCGCATCAGTCAGACACCCTCAGGAGCACCTGTGTCCACAATGCCGTACACGCGCACCTGTCTGTAGGCCGCGTTGAGACCGTTGGGCAGGTTCTTGATATCCTGCCAGTTCCAACGGAAGCTATCCTCCTCCACCTCCGCGAGCTCCACCGTCCCCACCCCGCGACTGTGCCGCGGCCTGCAAGGAGGTGATCAAATACACAGCCGCTTAGGACGCACTTCCCAGTAGTCAAGAGGTCGCCGTACATCCGTACCGCAGTCCGTCAGTACGGTTGCTAAATACACGTCTCACCCCTATAAAAGGGCATTGGTCAGTTTTCCCTCGGAACTTGTTTATCAGCTGAAGTGTCTCGAACAAACCGTCGCACTGGTGCAATGCCACCGGCGGGAGCCCCACAGAAGTTCATTGCTTACCGGCGGGACAGCGCCGCGAGGCTGCGGCTGAGGCTGCGACGCGACGCGACGTTAGTTTGCCTGCAAGGAGCGGTGGCGCCATGTGTAACTCCCTCCCCCCTAGGTGCACCCGAAAGGCCCGGTAAGGCCTTTTCGGGGTAAGTGGCTTCCTCATAAACCAGGCGACGAAGAGGCGCAATGCAGCGCTACATGTGATTAGAAGCAAGCCTCTCATCAGCTATAGCAATGGGCGTCGCAGCGCAGGCACCACCGCAGGCACGGTGTTGACCCCACAGCAGCACAGCAGCACAGCAGCACAGCAGTAGCAGTAGCAGTAATTGCAGCTGAAAGGAAACAAGGTTGAATAAATGGTAATGCTATTACGCATCTCAGCTCACCACGTTTGAACAGCCGACCTCGCAAGATCCTGAATGCAACAAAAAAGTCAAGAGATGAGCACATACAACGTACACGGAAAGGTCATATAAAGGGTCGTGTCTAGGGTCGTGTCTAGGGTATTACGAGACAACAGAAAGGCATCGCTCGGAGTGACAAAAAAAGCAAGCACGCGAGTGATAATATAAAGACGTACCGCAGCTGCAAGTAGACAGGTCAGCCCTCTGCTGCGCCGGCGGCGGTGCCGGTGCTACACAACAGCGGAAAACGCCCGACAGGTGACGCGACTGAGACCGATATCCCTGACCCACATCAGATGTCCCTTATCGCTGAACGCTTCCCTTAACTGCACCTCAAGATAACCGATTGCCAAATTTAACGAGTAGTCTAAGGACTCTCTGCTGGCAACCTGTAGCAAGCCTGCTACCTGCTGTGAGAATTCAGGGCCCTGAAAGCGGCCTCGCACGAGGTCCTGCACCTCCTGCTCCAACTTGGCGAAGGCGCCGTAGTCGCCTGAAGCGATCTCCCTGCGCGAGGCGCAGAGGCAGTGTGCTGTGGCGTGTGCTGCATGTGAGCGGGTACGCGTGGCGGCTTGTGGGCAAACAGCGCAAGAACATTTGGGCACCGACGGTACGGGGTACGGGAACACTGTTGGAAAGGAAACAATGTTGTACGTTGTTCAGTCCCGTCCCCAAGTCTCGTCCCCCAGTCAGGCCATGTCCCAGCCATACCACATACTTGGCGTTGGAAATGTTTCTTATGTCCTATAGCCTTCATGGCTTGCTGTACGGTTGCGTTCGGGGTGTCGGATAGGACAGGGCGAGGCGAAACCGGGGCTGCCAAGGGCCTTACACTACTGCAGAGTACTAATTGCTGCTCTCGGAGCGCCAGGGCGCGTGTGCGCCGAAGCGCGGTCTAGCGCCACACGGCGCGGTCTGAGCGCGCGCAGCGCTGTCCAGCGCGGCCACACCGGCACGGCCGAAAGAACTGACGCACAGCACTAGACAACTAAACGCAGCATTAATGACTGCGTCCACTGGTCACCCGCCCCGAGGGCAAACCTGAAGCGTCAGCGACGCACGAACCACACCCTGGCCAGCGGGGCTGGCCAGGCGACATTCCTAGCGCGCGACGATACTCTATAGGCACTTATTTGCCGTGCGGTAATCGCTGTACAGCTGCACGTCCGGCGCTCCGAGGGGACTGCCTAATCACCGGTCTCCAACTGGGCCGAGCCTGCCGCTTATAAACGAGGGACACTGAGGGCGGGGGGGGGGAAGTGAGAGCAACAATAATAATAAGCTCCAATAGTGTAGGCAGAATGCCGGAACTATGGAGCTGTCAGCTGAAATA